TCCAAATCTCCTAACGAAAAAAATAGTCTTAACGCCCGCAGAAGAGCATTTGTTGCTGACGGGAGAATGGACGAGGACTCCCAATAGGGCAGTGACCCCATTCACGCGTTCCACATAGCGTTTACCACCAGCTGGAGCGACTGCACACAACGTTTAGTTGGGTCAACGCACGATGTGCCCTCAACGTCACCCACGCGTATGACACCCGGGCAGTTTCCTAGGCTGGTGGGCGCATAAGCGAAAATGGATGGATGACATGGCAGAACGTTGACATTTGTCAACTGGCTTCACTCCATAACCACTTTCCTTACTTTTGGCCACTGACGCACGACAAGATTGTTTTACACAGCGTCGTCCGGTCTTGGGCAGTACGAAACTCATGCATCAGCCCATTCCCTATTTAGCTCATTCAAAAGGACAAGCTTTTGGAATTGTTGGAGCAGTTGTGAACTCAAATGCATTGTTATGTGTGGAAACACCGAATGACTGACACTGCCGGTTCACAGATGTGGTTTACAAGCCACCAACCACACGGTGATGGCAGCTATGGGTTATTCGACAGTTGTCGTTCAGTGCTGTCCATCCAAGTTTCCCCTCTACTCGGCGGCATCGTAGTCCTTGATCATGGCAATAGTCTTCAACCTTTCCCAATGGCCTCACAATTGCTTTGCCTATCTCATTGAAAGCTGTTTAGTTTTATTCCTCCGCAGACAAGCCGTTTCATTTTCGCTGCGAACATATGAAGCCGTTTTTTTCGTTTGCGTATATGAAACATCAATGTAGTCATTGGAGGAAATTGAGTAAAAATGTAGAACAGCACACAAAGTCGACATGTTCCATATTAGTGCTTTTAGCCTTTAAGTTCTTATTATTATACAAGGTGGCCTTTGCCATTTTAAGCTATCCTGAAATGCAACAGACGGCAGATTTTCGTATTGCATTTGACATAATGCTAATGGCATTTCAATAGTATATGTTGTGTTTTTATGGTAAAGAATGCGTGCTTATCGTTTTAACGCGTTTTGTAAATCCGGGTAGTTTGTTTTCGGGTCAAGTGGGAAGCTTCCTGCTATGGTATGCTCGTTTTGTATAAATGACAGATCTTTGTATCAGTAGTAAATTATATCATGTGCACTGTTATTGGTTGATCCGCAATTTGTCTTCAGGCGTTGTTTCGATTATTTTTGTGTAAATCAAAGCCGGAATTACGGCATAGAGTTGTGTGCTGAATTTGATTAAAAGCGTTTGTGCATGTACCAGCTGTCATGGTCTACGTTCCGACAATCCATTTGGGCCCCATTT